GACTTTTGACGCGCCTTTTTTTGGACTTTTTTGGTAAAAGCTTTCTAACTCTATTAGAACTCATGTTTTCCAGAAAGCGCGGGTTGTAGTTCTTGAAGAGCTCTATCATCTCATGCAATTTGATCATTTTTCATCATTGCCCATTTGAAAATGAGCGACGAAAAAAGAGGGGCGGCTTGTCCGCAACTTTTTGGCGGTCACTGTATTGTGTTTCACTCGCTCTGAGTATTTATGTACAGCACGATCGTTCAAGCCACTAGTAGTTGGTTAGATCAGATAAGGGTGTTACGGGCGGTATGTGTATTCTCCCGTTCGGGTAAGTGTTGTACAGGTCATAATCCAGTCAGACGTGGGCGCCCAAGCCCCATAATGCGCGAGCTCAAGCGCCTGACCGTGCAAGAGTCCGGTCAGGCAGAAGGCTGGATTTGCAATGATCGGACACCTACCTGATCTCCTTGGTGTATGAATTGTGTGCAAGCGCGTCTCTTTGAGGTGGCCCAAAATGTTATCTAGCAAATCGAGCAACTTGGTCATCGCCTAAGATTATTGTTATTTTGCAAGAAGTTGTCTGATTTGGCATTTGATTTCTTTTAGAAGAAATCCAGAGCCCGTTTGGAAAGATCGGGCCATGGAACTTTTGCAAATTTCGTAATTAAATCAAATCAAATATCAATTCAAACAACTCTTGCAACATGATAATTATCAAACCTCTTATCCGTACTAGTAAGTAAATCGTTCAATTTGCTAACGCTTTCGGCCGACTAATCAAAGAGATGCGCTTTTCACACAAGTTATACACAGACGATATCGCGTAGGTGCCCAGGCATTGCAGACCTACTCGGTTTGCCTAACCGGGCTTTTGCAAGGTCAGACGCCCACGTTCGCGCATTTTGGGTGTTTGCGTCGGACTGCATTACGACCTATACGGGAACACCTACCACAACGGGGGACTGACACGTACGCCCTAGGAATGTATATGAATATAAGAAACATTTATTCTGATTCATTGTCTTTCCAGCGGGATGATTCTGGCGGTTATTGGAAACCTTTCCTTGAACCAAGTCTGATCGGCGACTGTTAACAAGTTTAAAAATTTGTTTAGTGATTGTATTATTCAAGAGCCTCGGTTACAATGTGCAGTACCTGCAACAAATCATCTACAGGCAGCAATCGATTTTGGAGTAGAGGGTGTCGACATTGATGAAACACTTATATTTGGCAATTATCAATTCTGTGGCATCCAGGCGCCCGGCCTACTTTTTCACACTAAGGGCCGCATGCACTAACATCCCCGCGGGGAGAGGATCGCAGCTTAAAAGAAAGCTTTATAATTCGAAACTCCAGATACCTGGATTTCACGTTGTGCAGCTATCCGTAAGTATTCCTACTACCCTTTACTATGAACATGTTGAAGAGGAGCGAGAAGCTATACGAACCGTATTTTCCAGCTTTTGTATGATCCCTGATGATCCCCGGTGCTTTTCTTTAAAGTCATTTTTCTTTCTCCGAAGTTAACGAATAACCTCCAAAGTTGTGCAGATTATCTAACCCGACAGTGCTAAGCATGTTGCTGATAAGAAGAAATGATGTTTTGAAGTCATGAAATTTTCGATGATCTACAGGTCGAAATTTGAGGTTTACCGAAAAATTCGACTTTTCAAAAACTCATTTGTTCTCATCAGCAACATGCTTAGCACTGTTGTTTAGATGTTCAGTATAACTTTGGAAGGTTTTCGTTAACTTCGGAGAAAGAAAAATGACTTCAAAGAAAGCCGGGGATCATACAAAAGCTGGAAAAGGCGGTTCGTACAGCTTCTCGCTCCTCTTTAACATGCTCATAGTGAAGTGTAGTAGGAATACTTGCGGATAGATACACAACGTGAAATCCAGGTATCTGGAGTTTCGAAATATAAAGTTTTCTTTTAAGCTGCGATCCCCTCCCCAGCGGGGAGGTTAGTGCATGCGGCCCTAAGTTTTAAACCAAAATCATGGAATGTACGAATCACCATATCTCGTGTGTCGGTTCAAAAAAATGAAAATATGTAGTTCGTTCCTCACCATTATTCACTGTTCTGCATTGTCTCTTCTGTATCCCATCATCCAGCTACTCTCATTCTCTGTATTTGCATATCATCTTCTTCTTGTGATTTGTCATATTTTTGATAAACCATTATATTTTTACCAGTTGTCCCGCTAAGTCAGTGGAACCTGCGGTCTGGACCGTCCTAGCGTCACTACTCAGTGATATGAGGAGTTTATGATTCTTCCGATGAGTCCCACAAAGAAAGGCTGCAATCAAAGTTGCCTATTGGAATATGGTATGAACTCAGCCTCGGAATTTAGGAGATGGTATCAAATGTGCTTCATTAGTTGCAAAGCATTATTCTGGAGCAAGGTTTAACCACCTGAAGTTTTGCAGCATGCATGCCTAGGACCTTCATGTTTATTTTAAACGATTTAATGGTTAGTATATCGGATTCGCCAGTGACCGATAAGATTTCAAATCCCGTAAGTTCCACGTTTTTTTTGTTTATTCTTTACCTATTCCATGTTTTTTGAGAAAAAAATGACACTTAGGCAGACTAAGCTCTAGTGAGCTGAGCTTAGGCAGACTAAGATCTAGTGAGCTGAGCTTAGGCAGACTAAGCTCTAGTGAGCTAAGCTTAGTCTGCCTAAGTGTCATTTTTTTCTCGAAAAACATGGAATGGTTAAAGAATTAAGAAAAAAAAACGTGGAACTAACGGGATCTGAAATCTCGGTCGCTTGCGAATCTGATATACTAACCATTAACGTTTAAAATAAACATGAATGTCCGAGGCATGCATGCTGCATTATGGAACCTGCCATGTCATTCTACAAGCGTATTAGTAAATCATTAGTACGTTGTAATACAGTTTGAAATAGTCGTAAAAACTCTGCATGCAGCCGAAGATAATATGCGGAAGGAAGAATTTGATCAATCTTCAACATCCTCAACAAATACGATCAAAAAAACGTTGCTATGTAAAGCTAAAAACTGGGAGCACCCCAAGAGAGTTTGGTTCCTGCGACGCCTAGTATTTACCGGCTAAAATGAACAAAAAGTAATCTACAAGTTTAAAATCAGCTTTAATTCCGCATATTATGAAACCGCTTGTTGAAAAATGTTTGGTTTCTGCGACACCATGTGTATCCGATGAAAATGAACAAAAAGTAACTGATGAGCTCACAATCAGTTTTATTCTGCAAATTATAAGACCGTTTATTGAAAAATTTCTTTAAAAAAGATCAATAAGCCGTAAAGCTGTGTTCTTGCCTCAAAATAAACGGAACAGGTAAAAAAACTCTTATAAGAACGCCATTCTTAGAAGGGCCTAAGTTAGATTTGTAAAAAGCATTTGCGCTCGTCTTCAGACTAACTCTATACTGCTTCCTTGCTAAAGGCAATACCCACTCAAAGCATGGTGTTTTCATATGAAAAGCAAATTTGAGACCTAATAAGGCAAGACGTAGCACAGATAATTCATCTAAGCCGAGAAAATGGTCTCCATTTATGTAAAACTTGGACAGTGCCTTTGTGTGGTCTCGCTATCAGTTTCTACAAGAAGACTCCTGTGCCACGTTTGCCAGAACAGTTAATAGCTTTGTAAAGATTAATGGTAAATGCAAAACTTGGAAAACCTTGTTTTTTTAGCGCGCTAACTGTCGGAAATATACACAAAATTTGTGAAGTATGATATGCAAAAACTTTCATTATACTACAGCTACTCATAGTTTAGTCCCACCAAAAACGACAAGTTTTGTCTTCCTTATCTCAAAGTCTTTTTGGATTTACAGAAGGGATTATCATGAGATTTTCCTCCCAGCTAACATCCGTAAGAGGTTGCCATCGTTCTCGCATAATGAAATACCAATTGCTGACTTGTGGGCTAGCGGAATTAGATTTCAAGTAAACAAAACAATTTCGACAGCAATATTTATTTTCAAATGAACTTTCTAACTAAATATTTCTTGAAAGTCATATCTTAAGGTGAAGCATATCTTTGAGCTTTGCATGGAAGCTTCGAAATTCCTGGTGGGCAGTTTGAGTAAACTTATCCTGCTGAATAGCTTGAAGATCTGAATACTGTTTAACGGTTAGTATCGCCTCTGAGTACCTTGCATAATAAAGGCCTGTCAGAATAAAATCAACTGTAGCACTCCACTAAACAAACCCCGCTAATATGCTCTAGCGTTACAATCGCAATTTTTGCTTCAACACATACTATTTCTTATAGATACTCTATGAACTGCATACCGCCCCTCAGCTTATTTGCTAAGAGTTTCAGGGACAACGTCATCGCCGCAGTGCCAAAATGATGCTGCTTGCACTCCACCATCTGTATGCATTGACAACATCTGCGCACAAGGAGTGTCTTGCAAAAGTAACGCTGATTGTGATGATCCAAGGTTTGAGTGTAACCGACAGTTTTGCGTTCCCAAGCACAAGTGGAAACCAGATAAGTTGATGACGTGTAAAACAGACAGTTCTTGCATCTCACCAGCAACGTGTGTGGACAACTTTTGCATAGTCAACTTGAAATGTCATAACCACGAAGAGTGTGGCAGCCCTCATCTTAAATGCATACAGTCAGTCTGTATTCTACTGTCTGAACCAAAACCTCCGGTGAGCTCGGGGAGCTCGGGACAGATGTCGCTCCAACAATCTCAAATAACAACACAGAATGGTCAAGGTGCATCGGGACAAATACCGTGCCAGGTGCCTGCCCTCCACAATACGTTTGCATTAGTGGTGTTTGCGTACGCCGTGCACAATGCACAACTAACAATGATTGCATCGATCCACGGTTCGAATGCATACTGCAAAATTGCATTCCGAAAACTCAATTTAGGACACAAAACGGTTTGCTGATGTGCTCAAATAATCTTTGCCCTTCACCATCTACGTGCGTGCACAACTTCTGCGTGATTAATCTGCTCTCGTGATTAATCGCAATGATTACGACTGTGGAAGTCCACAAATGAGATGCATACAGTCAGTCTGTGTTGTACTCTCTACATCGCAACCAGGCACATCATCTTCAACTGGAAACCAAGGCATTTCGCAGGGGAAGCCAGTGCCTTGCCAGCAAGGTGTCTGTCCAGCACCATTCACATGCGTTGATGACGTTTGCGTGCAAGGTAAAGTTTGCTCGACCACTACTAATTGTGATCCAAGATTCGAATGCAATCAACGGATCTGTGTCCCAAAGCGTGAATGGAGGCCGGAATCCAGCCTGCTGATGTGCCCTTGCTCTTCATCAGCTGCGTGTCAAGCGATTTCAACTCACGGATAAAGATCAAGATCACGCTGTTATAAGTACTTTTCTCCCAAATAAACACAATGAGATTCTGTGCTGCAGCCATAATTTTTTCCAACCATATGTTTGTCCATTCGAGAGAAAAATCAATCGTATATTAAGTTTGAAAGTACGGAATTTTCAGGAAAGACACTCAAAGTAATTGCGACAGATTCATTCATCTTTTTCTATGTTCACTCTAACGTCAATACCAGGAAAAGTTTTTGCCTCTGTCGTCACCTATAACACTTATTGAGCAAAAACTTCCAAAGCGGCACTACATTCGACAGCATACTCTAGCAAACTAAACACGTGAAATACTCGGGCATGATTGGCATACTAGCTCCTACAGTTTCCGTATGCCGTGATACAGCTCCACATTTCGTCACACCTCTACAGATGAGTTGTTTGCGCCTTCTGCAGAAAAGCTTGTTCCCCTCCCCTCCCGCTTTGCCAAGGGTTGACTTCACTGCTCCAAGGCTACAAATATGAGGACCGGTAACGGCAGAGTGGGCGATCGCATCCGCGCGGCGGCGGCAGCGCGGATTCGCGTAGGGACCCACGCGGATTACGGTACATCCCGCTCCGAGTGTCCGCCGAAGCTCCGAATTTCCTCATTTCTTTTTCTATCTGTTTGTTTTCTCTCCTATTCTCGGATGACCGCTATTTTGGATTGTCCACTCTTCCGTTACCGGTCCTCCGGTCGTATTCGCGGCGCAGAAACGGATCGCTTTCTCGGGAATATGCATTTTTTGAATAGTTCCGATAGTAGCCGGCTTCTCAGCCTGTCAAAATGATCTCTCCGTCTAGGTCATTTTGAAATCCTTTTGTTTGTTGTTGATGCTATCTTTCCACCACTTCTTTATAGACATCTCCAATGATGCAGACCTTCAACGTAGTTCCTTTTCATCATATGCATTCTGCATACTTACAGATATAACACCGTCGATGCTCAGATCGCGAAAGACTGCTCGGGGACGTGGTAACGAAGAACTTGTTTTGGCACCTGGTGCAGAAATTAGCAAAAATTTGGGAAGGTATGAGTGACATGCTCTCAACTAAACTGTTATATAACTATCTTGATTTTGTGAAGATTTGCCGAGCGTCGTACCGATATCTTAGGTGATGGTGTCGCTGGAGCAGAACAAACGGTATTTGGAAAATTGGGAGAGGAAGCTCCGCAGCCTACAAAGTTAGTGCAATCTCGATTTTCATTGGATTTCGGTCCCTGTTTGAGGTATATGTGTTCTTGGACCATTTAGCGTCACAGTTTCATGGCACATTCTTGTAACCTCTTCTCCTCTCAAAAGTTCTGTTTATTTTCCCGTTGCGTGATTTAGTTCTGAATTTCCAGCAACTTATTTGGGATGGATCTGAAGAGACTCGTGCCACATACTTTTGCCGTACAAAGCCAAGTCACGATCGGTAAGTTTACTGGTTTCTTACTGGCTCTGTTAGTTTTTCGCAGTAAGTTGTACATTAAAAAAAACTTTCTATTTCAGTTGATTGTATTTTGTTCAAGATAAATTTTGGCAGTGGCATGCCCGCACAGGCGACCATGGCAGGTTATGGTGCCATGCCTCCCCACCAACTTCGTTATTTCATTGAATAAAACTGGAGTTGGTTATAAAATACTCGCTTTAGCGCCTGAGGCTCCTACGCCAAAACGTCAAAAAACTTGAGATGAGCTGGAGCCGGAGGCTGAATGGTTGAAGAAGGTAGAAATAGCTAATCATTTGAATTTTCGTCTATTTTGTAATTTTACAAATCAGTGGACTATGAATTATATGCGCGTTTACTTTGTACTGATCACTTCATATTCTCAGGTGAACGGTGCGATTGACTTGCGCATACAACTACCTGTAAGTGCAGAGTTCAACATGGATGGATCGATCATCGGATTACAAATCGATGTTTCCTCGCAGGTGAGTCTACTTCGGTTTTTCTGAGATAGTTGGACTTATTTATTACAGTTGCTTTGTTGACAACTCTTGCTAGTATTATATTTTACATTCATTGTGGAAATTTGCATTTAAAAATGCCTCAGAGCATCCTTATCAAAGTTTTTGCAGGTATCGGACCTCAAGCAGCAACTTCAGGATAAGCTCAGCATGCCAATAGGAAAGCAGAAGCTTATCTTTGATGTGAGTACACCCATACTTCTTTGTTGTAAATTCTTAATTCGCCCATTGGATTTTTTGTTCTGGTATGGAATCAAACTGGTCGAATATTAAGGAGATCTAAGTTTGTTTCTATTAGTTTTACAATTTCAGAGTTTCTTCCCGAAAGACAACTCTCTTTGGCCTTCTACAACATGAAGAATCAATCGTTTGTTATTTTGCAGATCAAGGAAAGAGGAGGCTAAAACAAATGGTAAATTGTAGATCATGTGTTGTATGGCCATGTATTTGTTTCGCGTACCGAATTTTTTTTGTTTGGATAGTACCTTGTAGAAAGTGTGTATTCAACTTCTACGTATATAGATGTGAATTGATCTGAGACATCAATATGACTTACTGAAAAATAAAGAATTTTCAATAGATCCTTTGTTGTAAATAGTTTAGCATTTCATCCAAATCTAATGCACTGACGAAAATACAGCAAGGAATTATCAAAATTCTTGGCAGATGGACAATCCAAATAATGTTTGCTATACTGGTGCTTCAAATAACTTGGAATAAAAAGTAAGAAACAATTGACAACTAGCAAAGCTGTGCTTTCTTGAACAACCTAGAGCAATTTTACAAATTTATCCAAAGAACTCACCAACGTTATTTCTATCAGGATTGCTAAATTTGCTATTCGCTGTCAATCGTTCTTGTTGTTCTTTCACCTTTTACAATTCACTTTCCTTCTCATCCAGGGAATATATCAGGGACAATAAATTCAAAACCTTTCCTCATGAAAACTTAAGCGAACTTCTTGTCAACATCCTTCCACATTGCTTTCTTCAATCAGCGGGTGTGCTCCACAAATCTCCCGTTTTATTTTCAGTTCGCACCCCTCACTGGTAAATTGTAAATTTTGACGAGGTAATCCCGAATGTCTCGTTTTGACATGCGAGGATCCAGTTCGAATCTTACGCAGCTTACACACGTACGCAATCGTGCTCGCGTCTCTCAGAGAAGAATGATACATTACAATACATCTCTACTCCAAGGGTTGAGCCAGACTTCGCAGCGTACGCTGGGTATGTTTCATCATAGGAGCGTACGCCGCGTACGCCGCGCAGTCTGGCCCAACCCCAACTTCATCCGTTTTGAAACTAGAATACACGAGAGCTTCGCGAACGTTTGGTTAACAAGCGACAAGTTTCAGTTAATTCACTACTTGGATTCGTAAATGAACGTGTTTAAGCTCGCTGAAAAACGAGTGCGTCATCGTGGTTGATGCCTTTATTTTTGCTTACAAACAAGGCAACAGACAACATGACATTATATGTAAACTTAGTTTGCCCGTGGAAGGATCACGAATCAGAAAGCAAAAAAAGAGGAGAGTTAGGATGTAGAGCAACCAGTTCACAACAGAACAACTGGACCCGTAACAAACTCAATATCATAAAAAGCAAATTTGGAAGAAGAGCAAATTAGTAGCTGCTTGATGAGATTTGAGAGTAGTTACAATTCTTTACAATGTGTTTTAACACCAGTGGGAACTCTTCCGTTTGCCAAGTTGCGCGATTTTGTGAAATGGCGAAACGATGTGAAAGTTTCTAGAGAGCAGAGTATGAGAGGAACTATCACATACTGAGAGTGGACAAGGACAAATCAGCAATGAAAACAAGTACCCGAACATCAAGCTAGCTGATATAAAAAAATAGAAAATAAACAGAACTTTTGAGAGGAGAAAAGGTTACAAGAATGTGCCATAAAAATGTGACGCTAAATGGCCCAAGAACTCACATATATCTCAAACAGGGATCGAAATCCAATGAAAATCCAGATTGTACTAACTTTGCAGGCTGCGGAGCTTCCTCTCCCAATTTTCCAAATACCGTTTGTTCTGCTCCAGCAGCACCATCACCGGAGATATCGGTAAGACGCTCGGCAAATCTTTACAAAATCAAGATAGTTATACAACAGTTTAGTTGAGAGCATGTCACTCATACCTTCCCAAATTTTCGCTAATTTCTGCACCAGGTGCCAGAACAGGTTCTTCGTTACCACGTCCCCGAGCAGTCTTTCGCGATCTGAGCATCGACGGTGTTATATCTGTAAGTATGCAGAATGCATATGATGAAAAGGAACTACGTTGAAGGTCTGCATCATTGGAGATGTCTATAAAGAAGTGGTGGAAAGATAGCATCAACAACAAACAAAAGGATTTCAAAATGACCTAGACGGAGAGATCATTTTGACAGGCTGAGAAGCCGGCTACTATCGGAACTATTCAAAAAATGCATATTCCCGAGAAAGCGATCCGTTTCTGCGCCGCGAATACGACCGGAGGACCGGTAACGGAAGAGTGGACAATCCAAAATAGCGGTCATCCGAGAATAGGAGAGAAAACAAACAGATAGAAAAAGAAATGAGGAAATTCGGAGCTTCGGCGGACACTCGGAGCGGGATGTACCGTAATCCGCGTGGGTCCCTACGCGAATCCGCGCTGCCGCCGCCGCGCGGATGCGATCGCCCACTCTGCCGTTACCGGTCCTCTACAAATATTCACTAGAGATACTAAATCAGGAATATTTTCCAAACAATCATTGTCTGTGAACAGCACGCCCCTTCAACACTCCGTACTTTCTCAGTTATTCGAAAAACGCAAGAAGTGCAAGTAAGTTTGGCTAAGGAAGAGGATCTGTCAATGTCAGAATGGGCTGTATTCGAATATCTGTATGGGGTGAGGAGTACTTGCCGCCGAAAAGGGATGGTCACACTTGCTACAAAGTATGGGGTAGGGGAACGAAGGCCGTTTGAGCCGTCTTTTGCGGCCAACTAGTCCTTCTGCAGTGTTGTTGCATGTCGCAGGAGGACCAGTAGTCCGCGGAAGCGGCTCAAACTGGCGGCTTTGGTCTATCCCAAAGTATGCACTCCACCCGTTACAGACAACGAATTTCCACAACAGCCTGCTGGGGTGGAGACTATTGGCGGCATATAGTCCCTTACCCATCTGTATGCGTGCGCGACATTCGCACTGCGCAACTGACGCTGATTTCTCTACGATTTGTAATTAATCAATCTCGGAACATACACTCCGACAGATTTTATTTTATACAGTGTATCTTGAAGGCAGCGTCTACCCAAAACTTCGCCTCCCATATTTCTGCCATTTTGGGGCTTTTCGTGGCTCTGATTACGGTTATGATGTCCAAATTGTCTAACTCCCAAAAACCCGGTTCCTGAGGACCTTGTCTTGAGGACGCGGACGGCTTTCGGTACATGGGTGGGCGAAGCTTGAGGATTTGGGCTTGACTTGATAGCACTATGCTTTTCCATGCCTATTATCATTATTCAGAGACAACATGAGAGGACCGGGACGACGCAGATGCCCCTCTCCTAAGGCCTACATTAGGGGCACTAATGGAAGGAGTTATACATAGCCTGGACGCTCCCTTTGAAAGGATATCGAACATTTGGTCGTTAGTCTTTCATTTATTATGATGTCTTTGAAGAAGCTTAAGAACTATTTTGTAGAGCTGGCTTCAACTTAGATTTACAGTATGGCACGAATCGATGCTTTTCACTTTTGTACGATTACGGTAGGCTTCCGGCGTAGGACGTCACTTTGGTGGAACTGCTGTTCTTAATGATGTTTCAGCTACGGCTGCGTTCATACTGATCCCGAAGTTCGGGAACAGTTCCAGCACAGCGTTCAGTTCGAGCGTTATGCTGGAATTGTTCCCAAACTTCGGGATCAGTATGAACGCAGCCTACGGAATGCAAATTTGAGATCAGCACTCAAAAATGTGCTGAGCGATATACACCATAACGATATACAAACTATCCCTAACATAGAAAGTATTTTCTTTTTTAGTTTGATTGTAAGTTTAATGGCATGACAGTTTGGCAGTTCAATGACATTGCCATGTCAAAAAAGACAGGCTCGAAGAAGTACATTGTGTAATTTTTGAGCTCTTAATTCTTCTTTGGCAGAGTTTTCCCAAGCTTGGTATTTTTCCAAAAGCCGAAAAATTGCTCAGTACGCAAAAGCTATTGAGAATTCAGTTGGACGAAACTTAAGCAAGTAAACATTTTCATATGATTGTCATACGACAGCTGCGAAGCTAAATGAAAATTCTGGAACTCATGTTTTCTTGTCTAATAGCTTCCATTAACTTCAAAATCAATACTGCATAAATTGAATTCTTTTAGGACCCTGAAAATTCTAACAAAAATATAAAAAACGGCTTCGGTTCAATTGTTTTTCTTTTTCACTTTAATTTTTTTTCGTATTTTGAGACATATAGTAGTCACGCGAGTGAGTAAATTTTCAAAAAAAATGTTCTAATTCAAGCTCACTGCATTTGGAAACATGATGACCTGATTATTGATGTCCCTCGAATCTCTGGAATAACCATACATGGGATTAAACTCAAAATTCTATGGCACTATTGTAAGTTGTACAAACTATGTGCTGACTGAATCTTCATGAGAACTTATGGTTTTTGAGAAAACAAGAATCGCAAAATAAAATGGATACGCAAATCGTGGACTTACTGTTTTCTCACACAATCTTTGTCTGATTAGAAGAGTGGGCTATGAAACATTTATTACTGTTTGCTAAGACCTATTATTCTCATAGTGTTTTTGCAACACTCCCCGTTAAGTGGCGAGGTTGCTTATTGACAGCTCGTAGCTAAAATTCTTTCCTTTTGCTTTTATTTCCATTGTGTGATTACAAGCTCCGCCAAGGCCTCATTACAAAGCACATTATTTCCTTTTTTTCGCAACAATCGATATCAGACCTCTTAGATAACAAAAAAATTTCTAACACGGTCATTTATCTTTTTTGGTTGAACCTAGTACTTGCTACTCTCTAGTGTGCATATTCACTCATATTTGGTGACGTCGAATCTTTCTGACAAATAGTCTTTTGTTTCTCTAGAATGTGAATTTTCTTGAAGGAGAAAAAGGCAGAGCAAAATATATACAAATTCGGGACAGTCGAAAGCAGCGTTTAGCTAAAACACCTTCTTTTTCACAGATTCCCAAATCCTGAGGTTGCTAACGTTTGAAGGGGTCGAAGGGTCTGAGCAAGAAATTCCATGCACCAGGACATTTTTAGATTTTCGTTAGACATGATTGTGGTCGGTGTATTAGGCCCCGGGCATAGCTCACGCGACGAAGTGGCGACCGAGTTGCTTATCGTTTGGAGCGTGCATACCTCTGACGAAATTTCATTTACTTGTACTTCATACAAAAACACTCATAAATAGCAAAAATAGCAATATTTCGTCCAAAAGCACCCACAACTAGCAAAAACGGCGAGATACATCTATGAAATCGGAAACACGACTCAAAAATCATGCGACGGTCGCCTCGTCGCTTGCTGCAAACGGGCGACGCGACATCATGCCGATTAGGCAAAATCGCGACGATCTCGCCAAATGGGTTATGAACGCCGAAAAGTGTGTGGCGATCCGTCGCGCCGCACAGCCGTCACAAATACGTCGGGACCACACACTTAAGAGCAGTGTCCAAACAAATCTGGGCGCATGGGTGTTTCTCCTGGAATTTGATGAGGGGTCGTAACTAAGGCACTGCCCAAGCGGCAGCGCAAATGGTTCATTCACGGCTGGGAAATCCGTCCCCAAAAACCATGCGCCTGCGCCGTGACCGTAACCGGAAAACGACGACCCCGCAGTTTAACGCTACGTTCGCGCTGGGACCTACAGGCGCGTAGTGTTTGGGGATGGATTGCCGTGAATGAATCATTTGCGCTACACTTTGTACAGTGCCTTAACTAGAACCTCCTCATCAGTTTCCAGGCGAAAAACCCATGTGCTCAGATTCGTCTGGACACTGCCTTTGAAGGCAATTCTCACCAAAGTTGAGGTCGCGCGGATCTTTACATATTCTATCAAAGGGACCTCTAAATAGGCCACTGCAACAATTCCCACTCAATTTGACCCCTCTACGCTGAGAAAAATTCGCTCGAAGTGGTACGCGGAGAGCGATTTGGTACGCGCGGACGACTCTTTCGGTCTCCCCCCTTACGCGTTTGAACATGTCCCTCCACTTGGCACCCAGCTCCCCTCTGTTGCTGCCACTGTGGTTGAGGCTGAAGTTGGAAGGTAGAACTCGTCCACGTTGCTTCCGCGGGACCTCCAGAATACGGGGTTTTTAGAAACTTCGTGTGATTTCAAGCCCATACAGTGCTAGACAGGGTCCGACGAGCTTGCAAAATGCAAAAATTTCGGAAACTAAATTTTGGTGAGACACTGCCTTTAACAGCGTGGTGTAGAACACTTGTCCAAAATAGCAGGACGCGACGCGACGAAATCGCACGAGCTATGGCCTTAACTTGGAAGCTGTGTCGCTTATTTCACTCAAGCATCTTCGATCAATGATGAGCTCGTGGAAAGAGATAAAAAACTACCCTCTTTTTACGCTTTTTCCAATCTTTGCATAACTTTAGTGACCAAACAATTTTTCAATAAAAGCGCAACCGAATACGAACAGAATCCAAGCTTTAAAACATTTGCGGTTGACAACAAAAATTGCTGTGCACAAAAATAAACTATAGTGATATTTCATTTTTATCAAAAGTCAAAAACCATTAAGTTTTTTTGAGCTTCTTCTTGCTTTTTCTTTTTGCAGCTTTTTTCCCATACTCAGGAGCTTCCGTAACAATAGGTTCTGGTGGTGCCGCATACGGAGCTGGCGGGGAGGCAACAGCTCCCACGGGACCGCGAGCAGGACATGGACAGTAGTGAGCATCTTTACCTGGAAGCCCGCGCGATCCAGGTTTACCTGGTTGGCCGTCATTTCCTCGCATTCCTGGTGGACCATCTTGCCCAGGAGGACCCTGACGACCCGGGGCTCCAGGCATACCGGCTGCACCAACAGGACCAGGTTTTCCTTGTGATCCGGGTGGACCTGGCGGTCCGGCTGGTCCAGGCATTCCTTTTCCTCGTCTTCCGTCTTGGCCCTTCACACCTGGCATTCCTGGAGGTCCACGTGGACCAGGAGGACCAATGTCGCCAGGTGGGCCTAAAGGACCAGGTATACCATTGTTGCCTTTTCGTCCTGGTTCACCAGGTCGGCCCATCTGTCCAGGTGGACCTGGCGGACCGGGTGGCCCGGGTTCTCCCATTGGCCCCGGCGGACATTTGATGCAAGAAGGATCTGGAGGTGGACACTGAATTGGTTGATAAACTGTCATGTCATCGTTACCCGGGGGTCCTGGCATTCCAGGCATTCCTAAATATACTTAGTATAATGTACAGAATAAAGAAATCAACGCGACATCGCTGACCTGGCGCTCCTGGAGGCCCAGGTGGTCCGGGTGGCCCAGGTGGGCACATGACGGGCGTAATCTCGCAGACGCACCATGGAGGAAGCTGTTGCCTTTTACGTCGGAATATTGAATCAAAGGGATTCTCAGGGCGCTTCATTTCTGGAGAGATCATCAGCTGCACATCCATAATCTCTATCCATGCTGAGTCGGTTTCCGTGCGAAAGGCAGCTACACCAGCGAGAACCTAGTATCAAGCTAGTCATATCACTTGAGCTTTATAAAACCAGAACATGATGAAATAAACCTACCATTTCGTGGATTTCATTGATCTCCTTGCACAGAGCTGGAATCACGATTGTGCAAGTTATCATAGCTAGAACGGCACCGACGGAAGCCACCACCACTAGGCTCTTCTCCCGCATTGTTTAGTCGCAATCCAACTGTGACTGTCCGACACCGATCCGGCTCCTTTTAAAGCTCCCTATTATGTGGTTAATTGGTTGCTCAAGAATTCTTTAGCTCTTCTTACGTCCGAAAAGTCAAAGAAATTTCTAGACGTCGTCATATATTGCATTTATGGGAATGCCGCTAATACTGCGGTACCTGTTTTCAATTTAACGGCATTAACTTACGCAAAAAACTTGAAGTTTATGTATGCTTCCAGATAAGTATTCTCTGCTTTGATTCGCTCACTAGATTTTTCCGGAGACAGCCTTATTTTACCATCGTGCGTATGCCATCACCTGTATATGACACCGTTCAAGGTGACCTGCTCGGTTATCGCTCATTTTTTGGCCTATTGGCAATTGACGAATAAATATGCTAATGGATGAGCTAGAAATTTTCCCACTATGATCGTTAACACTGATGCTCAGACTTGTTTGCATTTCTTGATAGATGTTATGTGAGGTATGCTGAAACTGGACGCCGACATTTTTAGCGGGAATTTGGTAATAAAAGTGAGACACATAATAATTATAAAACGTTATAGGAGTTGAAACGGAACGTTTTTCTATTTTAACAAAGGTGAAATAGCCCATTGTAACTTTGTAATGGTTCAGAAGCAGCGGGGACAAAGGTTCGCAGCAGTTTAAACAAGTTAGACTTCGGTTGGTAAAGTTGAAAGCATTTTCGTAATATAGGATAGACCTCGGCCAGCTTGGCCTGAGAGTTTCAGTCTCGGGTAGCAGTCTTGTGTTTTCCCTTTTTCTGAAATTTGAATGAATGGAATGTTTTTTGGAAGCTTCTCGTGCAAAAAAAAATTCGGTACTTTTCCGTTATCCGGACCCATTTTTTCAAAAGGCTCTTATAAAATACGTTCTGTATTCCAAGTACAAATTTTCATAGATTTTACGAGGACCGCCTCCCCGCCACGTGTCAGGAAAAAATTGACACGTTCTAATCCACTTTGACATGTTTTTTCGAAATCATTTCCGCTAAGGTAAAAGAGCATCTATAACCACTCGTTCAGCTTTTTTATATAAGAGCAAAACAATCTAGAATCATTACTGGAATATCTTGATTGTTTCTAGCAATGGTTCAAGAATGTATTTCACTTCAAACCTTCCGCCATGCGAGTTTAGTCAGGAGAGTCTACAAATGATGGCTTGAAGTAGTACCTCGCTGCTGCTTTTCGCCGCTTAGATGATGGAACCTTAGCGCCTTCTCTATTCTGGGCATGTCTAGTACGTTCATTCATAAGAGGGCGACGTTATTACTATAACAATGTTATTTTTGAAATTGTTTAATCAAAAATAGAATTATTGTTGACCAAAAAAGGTTGGACTTATGTCGCTAGGTAGAGCAACACAAACCCTTGGTAAAACTTGTTAAACATGTAAATGGCATGTCAAATTTTTTTGACACGTGGCAGAAGGTCGACACTCTTTCCTATGAAGTTGGGACCAAATATTGCGCAAGGAAAGAAGCAGTATCCTTCTTTGAAAAAATGGGTTCGGATAACGGAAAAGTACCAGAACTTTAGTTAAAAAGTCCTTGATTTGAAAAGTGTGGACTCAAGTCGAAATTGAGCCTTTCGAGAAGCCGGTAGAAATTTGTTTACAGAAATGTCCACGTTTTTTGTAATTTTTTATCCTTCTAATTTCTACTCTACAAAGAGAAACGTTTAAAAATACTGTTTATTTTTTTGCTTTACGTATACTTATTACCGCTTACCCTTCAGTGCAAGTTCGGAATTTGCACCCATTGATTGAATAGATACCAATAGAGTTGCGTGCATTCTATTCTTGCATAGGTTTCCTTCGAAGTAAACCTAGAAATTTCCATTTTCACTTTTTCCCATGTGTGCGTAGAGATGCTCTACTGCTCATGAATGAGATGAGAAGCATCAAGAAACGTGCGTGCTGTGGGTGCTTCGCGGAGGTACCTATGAGAAACTGACCAGGGTCACACTTTAAAAGGTAAACGAAGAGTTGATAGATAGCTGAAGGTTACTGCATGGCGAAGGCGCAGAAACGATGTTAGTGAGCGGAAGCGAACGCGGCGCGCGCGTATCTACACCGTTGTAAGCCCTGCTTCCAATTTATTTATTTATTTATTTATTTATTCAATACGCAATACAAGGCGTGCCATATTTGAAACAAAAAAACGAATACTTAGAGCTTGAACAGTAAAGAAAATAACAAAACATCCCAAAAGCTCGAGTCCAGCTCCGTGAATGGAAAGGGGTTAAGCCTGTGGACCGTGTAGGAATATGCGCTCTGCGGCTAAAAAAGCCGCGTTCGCGCCCAAAGATGTTGCGCCTCCGTCATGCAGCAGCCAATATTTTTAGCCGAATAATTGGAAAATAGGGTTTTTAGGTTTTTTTGAAAAACACTTTTTACTTCATTAGTCATTGCATTAACATAAGTCTGCAAGGTGTAGCTGAGGTGTTTATCTCATCAGTTCCTGTATCTTTTGGTGCTAATGCTTACAAATTGGTTTTCTAAGACTGATTGCATTTGCAGTTTCCTGGACATAATGTGAAGGCTTCTGTACAGATGGCGGCCTTACTTTGCGAAAAAGTGTGGAACTGAGCGAGCTAACAGTTTATTGCTCCGAAGCTATTATTAGCTTAACAAACGAGTTATACTTTGTGGAGTCATGGTTGGGTTATGATTTATGGAGTAATTGTGTTGTACCTATCTTCTTCGGTAGTATTCCCTTCATGTTCTTTTAGCTATAGAAATCAAATGTCATTGACTTTTTTGAAACAGGGAAAGCGGCATCACACAGTAGCTGTTCGCAGTTTTTCGAAGGTACTGCGGAACACGAAGGAGCTTCATGGGAAAAGCAGAGAAGGAGGATACCGAGAATCAAGATTTACAGCTGAATTATATACAGAGTGGTCTACATGAAATGTGACGGACAAAATTCTTCGTAACTTCGCTTAAACTAAATGAAATTGAACGCTTTTGCTTTCATCCGATAGACAAAAAAATTTGTTTAATTCCTTATAGAATACTTCCGAGAATTCCTTTGGTGACAGAATTTATTATGCGCGGAGAAATTTTCAAAATGCACGCAATGATCTTTGGTTGAAATTCCGTCCCACGCTCTCACTAGTTCTCCTCTAGCAAATCTAATGGCTTGGGTTTGGAAGAGCAGACTTTTTGCTTACAGATAGATTAGAAAAAGAATTCGTGGGTTTAAGATTATTTGATTTGGAAGCCCAATCATTGTTTGTTCATATGCGGCAATTATAAAGTTTGATGGACTGCGAAAAAACCATTCTTTGGCCTATTTCATTCCATTTCGAAGATATTCGTTTTCTCCGTATTTTTTTGTCTTAGTGTGTTTGTTCTCGACTTCACTTCTTAATCAAACATGATCAAATTTGAAGGCTTATTGAATCCAGTCGCCATAGCGACGAAAATCGCAATCTTTCGAAATTTTCAAAAAAACGCATCAGAAGCAAACTTTGAAGGGCCATGGTGCCTTCTTGAATTAAAGCAAACGCTATGGACGCTGTTGGGAGTTTTTAGCATGACTAGACACCAATTCACGGAGAAAAGAAGAAATTGCAGTTGTGTAAAAACTATTATACGGACATTGAAAAAAAAATAATGTTTGCTTTCTAGCTCTCCACCCTTAATCCCGCAAATACTCTTTCTCTTGAGCCTGAAAGAAAAAAGTCTGATCCAAAACGCTTTCTATTTGATTTGCCAAAAAGAGACCTGGTAAAGTTTGGGACCAAAAACCATTGCGCGCAAATCGAAGAATTTTTGGTAAAGAATTGAAAGAAAATAAATGATTTTACCAAAACCAGGGACAAGTGTCTATGAAAATTTAGAAATCTTATACAGAATTTTTTCTCTATCAGATGAGGACAGAACCTTTTGATTTCATTTGGTCCTTGCAAAGTTATAATATTTTTTTGTTGTGTCACACTTCATATGGACCACCCTGTAAATTATGCAAACAGTTCCTATTTTTCTCCCATCAGATCTCTTAGAAATTCCTTGGAAACAGCATGTTTGAAAAAAGAATTGGGGTGGACTCCAAGCACTATTCTTCGTCTCAAAACTCCCTTTGACTTTTCCTTAACTAAAAGCTCCTCTTATTTCTCCACTACCAAGGTAGAATGACTCAAAGGATGCTCTAATTGTATTATTCATTCTCTGACTAAGAGACACGGGCACGTTTTGCGCACGTGTGATTAGCAAATCTATGAGTGTTAGCAAGTTTTGGTGAAGTACTAGTATTAGGTTGTAACAGAATTAATGCAGGTTTTGAATTCCAACCGCAATAAGTCATACACTTCTCATTTCTAAGTACGTTGCAAAACACCATTCGATAGAGCAAAGCAATCTCTATAAGGTGGCATTCTTGTTTTAGCAACAACTCTGATCCACCACGAGTTTCGAGCCAAAAACTAAAAAGATTCAACTGTCTGAAAAATTGAGAAAAATCGTAACTTAGTTCATAAAAAACCTACAAAAATTCTAACTTGCTCACGTAAACACTATTTAGTCAAGACATCCATACACGCCTTTGCCGTATTTTTTCTCTGTTAGAAATCAAGAAAGCGGAAGTTTTCGTGCGTTTGCCAAAGTGATGCTGTGCCCTTCCCACATGAGTAGTTGTATACTACAAACCTGTAGAAGTATAAACGTGAATTTCCAGCTCTCTACAAGCTTTAGTTGTCGAAAAATATCGAATATAGTTTTCGTTAGTCATGTGGTCCAAGCTAAATTTCAAATTTCTCGACAACCAAAGCTTGCAGTGAGCTGGAAATTTAAGTTTATACTTCTACAGCTTTGTAGTATACGACTACTTATGTGGGACGGCACAGCATCACTTTGGCAAACGCACGAAGATTTCCGCTTTCTTGATTTTTAACAGAGAAAAAAATACGGCAAAGGCGTGTATGGATGTCTTAACTAAATAGTGTTTACGTGAGCAAGTTAGAATTTTTGTAGGTTTTTTATGAA